ATACTTTTTACATCATTCTTTGTCCCTAAAACTTTTCCTTGTTCTGAAGTCTGCTTTGTCTGAAATTATTATATCTACTCCAGCTTTCTTTTAGCATGATATATTTTTACCTCCTCTCTTACTTTTATTCTATCTCTGTCTTTATATAAGTGGGTTTCTTATAGACAACATATAGTTCGGTTTTTTTCTCACACATGCTGATAATCTGTTTTTTAATTAGTGTATTTAGACCATTCATATTTAAAGTGATTAATGATATAGTTCAATTAATATCTTCCATATTTATAACCATTTTCAGTTCTTTTCACCTGTTCTTTGTTTCTTTTGTTCTTTTCTATTTCTTCCTTCTCTGGTTTTAATTATTTAGTGTGATTCCATTTTTTCTCCTCTTTTAACATATCAATTATACTTCTTTTTATAATTTTTTAGTGGTTACTCAAGATTTTATAATATATATTTACAACTAATCTAAGTCTACTTTCAAATATCTGGTTAGTCCAGGTATTTTATAATTGAGTATTCACAATTCCTTTCTCCTGTTCTTTATAAAATTGCTGCCAATTATTAATTTGTGTATACAGTATATCCACAATACCCAATTATTTTGAACAAACACTTTTTTTCAACTTGATCTATTAATAATAAGAAAAATAAAATATTTTAATTTACTTTTACTTATTACTTCTCTGGCATTTTTCCTTTTTTAGGTAGATCTGAGTTTCTAACCTATATCATTTTGTTTCTCCTTGAAAAGCTTCTCTTAAAATTTCTTGCAGGACAAGTCTGCTGGTGATGAATTTCCTGTTTTTTGTTTGTTGGTTGGTCTAAGAAAGTCTTTATTTCTCCTTTATTTTTGATGGATAATTTAACCAGAGATATATTTTCAGTTTGGTGTTTATTCTTAAGTATTTCACTCCTGTCTTTTCTTGTTTGCATGATTTCTGGTTAGAATTCCACTATATTTGTTCATCTTTTTCTTCTATAAGCAGGATTTTATTTTCTTTGGTTTTATTTTCAGCATTTTATTTTATTTTTGTGTTATTTTTTTCTTTACTTCTCTTTTCCTTTTTAAAAAAATACAGCTTGAATATGATATGCTGTGATGTAGATTTTTTTGGTATTTATCCTTTATGGTGTTTTGATATTCTGTAAGCATCCTGTATCTATGGTTTGGTGTCTGTCAATAATTTTGAAAAGTTCTCAGTTACTATTCACATATTTTTCCTGCTCCATTTTCTTTCTTCTCCTTCAGTAACTCCAGTTATGCATATGTTATACCATTTGAAATTTTTCAACAGTTTTTCAATTTTATCATTTTTTCCTTTCTTTTTTCGCTTCTTTTTTTCTAAATATATTGTTTTTGTTTTGTGTTTCATGCCAGGAAGTTTCTGTTGATTAATACTCAAGTTCCCTGATTCTTTCCTTGGTTGTGTGCACTCTAATGATGAGCCTATCAAGTGCATTCATCATTTATGTTACAGTATTTTTTATATTTAGATTTACTTTTGAGTATTTCTTAGAGTTTCCATCTCTCTACTTACACTACTCATCTGTTCTCACATGCTGTCTACCTTTCCCTTTACAGCTCTAAGCATAGTTATTGTGCTTATTTTAAATTCCATGTCTGATCATCCCAACTTTTCTGTGGTATCTGAGTCAAGTTGTGGTCCTTATTTTGCATCTTCAGACTTCATTTATGTATATATATTCTAGTATGCCTTATAATTTCTGTTAAAAAGTAGACATGATACATTGGATAATCCTGAGGTAAACAGATGTTTAGTTAGGTTTTATGTTAATTTGGTTAGCAGTGGGTTTCATTTAATGTTTGCTGTAGCTGTAGATGCCAAGGGCTTTAAAATCCACTAGCGTCTTTTGTTTGTTTCATCTTTGGGTTCTCCTGAGAATTCCAACCAACCCTGGATAGGAGTACAGCAACTTAAACCTGAATCGCATGTTAAATGCAGCCACTGAAATGAAAATGATTCTCATAAAGTCAGTGAGAGAGAAGAAGAATCCAAAATAATAAATTTTGAGAATAAATTTGTGTTAATTGACCAAAATAGTACAATCGGAAGCAACTGTATAACAACAATGCAAGCATTTGAAAGAAAAGATTTAGAACATAGTATCTATTATAGACACTATGAATAAGCAGAACATAATCAGGTTGATTCTATTCAAAACTTTAATCCAGGATTTTTAACAAAACCTTTTAGCTTTCAGGATCAAAAGTCTCATTCAAAGCAAAGGCTATATGCACCGCAGAGGTTTATTGCAGCATTATTTACAATAACCAAATTATGCAAGCAGCCCAAGCATCCATTGATAGATGAGTGGATAAAGAAGATACGGGATGTGTGTGTGTGTGTGTGTGTGTATATACCCAAACATATAGGAATATTATTCAGTCATAAAGCAGAATTAACTCTTGCTATTTGCAACATGGATGGAGCTAGAGAGTATAATGCTAAGTGAAATAAGTCAGAGGAAGACAAATACCATATGATTTAACTCATATGTGGAATTTAGGAAAGAAAACAAATGAACAAAGAAAAAAGACAAACCAAAAATCAGACTTAACTATAGAGAACAAACAATGGTTACTAAAGGGGCGGTGGTAAGGGGGATAGATGAAACAGGTGATGGGGATTAAGAGCACACTTATCTTGATGCATGGAACTATTGGATCACTATATTGCACACCTGAAACTAATATAACACTGTATTTTAACTACACTAGAATTAAAATAAAATAAAAATAAAAACTGATTGGTATCCCCCCCCAAAAAAGCAGCAGAGATTTTCTCTAGAAAATCTAGATGCTGTAGAAACACTTGGCTGATGTTGCCCCCATAGACCTCTGCAGGAGCAGAGACTTACCGCCTCCCATTTGGCACAGATGTCTCCAGATCATCTCACTTATTTCTGTAGCTGAATATTCCAGGCATCCAAGTTTGTCTTCTAAACCAATTTATTAAAAATTGGGATTAAAAAACAAACAAACAAACACTTAGTTGGTCTTATAGAACCTGAAGGTCAGATAGAAAGTCAGAATGTTGGTTATATTCCAGTGACATGTCTATTCATTGCACTTTTCCCATGGATGGTTAGTAATAATTAACCTTAATTAGTCAATAAAAAAGCACACATGAAGGTATTTACATCATTTTTTGGATCTTTGTAATTTTGGATTATTGAAAATAGCCACCTTTTCCAAATTATCTCCATATCATCTTTTTTTCTGTGTCAATTTACTCCATTTTGCAAAAAGTCTGACCTGCTTATGTGAGTCCATTTTGTAGAATTGAGATAGTGTTTCAAGACATGGTTATGACTGCCCCTATGTGGTTTATTTTGGAAGTACTTAAGAAGAAAACAGTAGAGATTGAAATCTTAAGGTTAGTTACATAACCTTGACATTTTGCCTAATCTCAGTAACCCATATCCACTGATACACTTTTCCCCAAGGATAACATCCAGTTAATAGTTGTTTTGGTTTTTTTTTCATCTGCATCCTGTGTTGTTGCATGGGAAACACACAGATACACAAATGCACACATAGAAATATATATGTACATGTACATACAAAATCTATATATGTGTGTGTATATGTATACATAAAACTAAATATATGTATATACACATATACACACTTGGAATATATGTATATCTGTTCACTTCATTTTCCTTATTTATGCAAATGGATTCATATTATGCATACTTTTTTTTTGTACCTTGATTTTATTCTTTTCAATGGTTGTGTAGTTTTCATTTGTGGATATTTCTATTGTGTCCAGTTGTTTGTGTTTTATATTTATTTTTTTTTTTGTTATTAAAAACTGTACCACTGGTATACTCTAGTGATGATATTATTTTGAATTTTTACAATCATATTAATGATGGGAAGTCCTAGAAGTAACATTCTGGATCAAAGAGTGTGTATATTTAACATTTTGGAACATATTGGCAATTTGTACCCCAACATATTAGTACCAACCCTAATTTTCTTGAATCTGTACCTTTACTAGATCTTATTGAAATTTAATTTTCTCTATTCTGATTTTTATCCCTTTACAATGAATGCAGTTGTACACTTTTCCATATGTATATTGCATATCTGTCTTCATTGTTCTGTAAAATTCTTGTTCATACATTAGATATGAATATCCAGATTTCGAAATTTTCTCTGGATTGGTTAGCATTCTAAAATTGTCATTTGTCAGGATAGTTTTTATCTGGAGTTTCTGGAAGAGAAACCTGCTAGCCCTTGTTGCCTGTTCAAGAGCTATGTGTCCCAGGAGTATTAAAGTCGACAGCTTGCTGCCTGGTTGAGATACCATATGATATTTCCCTTGGGGCAAAGTTTTTCTTAATGTGTCATCTCTATAGGTTTCCCCAAAAGCTCCTGAGCCTTATAAGATATCATAGTCAAAGGTGAAACGACAGCTTACTAGCTATAAAGAGTGAAATGCTCACAAATTTCTCTTATTAAGCCCAGTAACTACTTGGCAAAGGCTGAAGGAGGAGAATGGTGGAGTGCCGAGGGCAGGTACTCTGAATCAATATCCTCATAATTCTGAGAATGTTCCAAAGTTCGTTCAATCACTATTTATTGAATCCCTATTATTTGTAGTCCAGCTACTAATTAATTCTTGCGTGTACAAAATGTATATCGAATAAAAAATACTTGTGCTTTTGCCTGTCAGGCACAATGTGCCATGGGTGTAAATTGAAATGAGAAGACATACTTTACATTCTAAAGTGGAGAACCCTCCTGGATGGACCTTATCTAAGCAGAGTTTGGAGGGAGGATGGAGACCGTACTCAGTGTGTGAGAAATGGGATGCCAATGATGTCTCTGTCATTCTCCTGATCAGGTGCCCAGTGGACAAATTACGGGCAAGTTCAGTAACTTCTCAATATCTAGCTATGGTGTTATAGGCCCTCCTCTCATAATTTATCCTCCAGCTCAACTCTGTGCATGTGGTTTCCCACAGTATTCAAAGGCGGAAAGGCATCCTGTGACTGCATTGGAGAAAATGATGGAGTCAAGTTTTGCTGGCCCCCAGTCATTCCCAGAGGTCCCTTCTCCTGACAGAGGAAGCCAGTCTGTCAAACACCACAGGTACAGGTAGCTACTCACGGTGGGGATGGGCACGTTCACACTATGTCTGACGCTGGACAACACAGGCCAACAAATGGCAACCTGATTCAGGAGAGATGATTGTTCTTGCTTCCCCTTAGTTCTCCGTGGAGTGGATGCTCAAGCAGCTGACAGCCAGTAAACCAAAGCTGACAGCAGGCAGCCATGCCCCTGTAAGAAGCCTGAAGGAACTATTAACAACACCCATCAAAGCTGCAGACACAGACCAGTGAATGAAACAATTGCATTCTGAAAAACTATTAAAAACATGATTTCCTAGCCTGCCTTATCACCGTCTGCAAATTTAATGACTAATTCTTCCCTAGGCAGCTGATGTGACACACTCCAGGTCTTCCAACATGGTTCTTACACAAAGAAAACTTTTCAGGGGGAGGAAGCTTGGCAGGTGTTCTCCTTGGGATTATAAAATCTGTTATTAATGGGGTGGCACTCTTTTGCAAGCTGACCACAGAAATTGGTTCTTTGGGGTAGAAAACCAAACACAAGATTATCTTATAAATACCATAACATTCGGAGGCCAAGCAAGTTTTTTAGCATCTTCTAGTCACGTGCTGCATTTCATATACAAAAATCTCAAAGTCCGAAGATGCAGTCTTTGTCCTAAACCAAGTGCCAAAGTTTGGGACTGATGTTATGTTTATGTGCATCTGAATGTAATAGCCTCAGTCTTTGTGGAAGTTGTGCAGTGATTTAAGTATCCTTTTCTTAGTGAGAAGTACAGTATTTTAAAATTAAATATATACATATGAGCTTTGCGCAGTGGCAGTATCGTAGCCAATGAGGTTTATCCGAGGCGCGATTATTGCTAATTAAATATATACATATGAAAAGATTAAAATTTCAAAAAAGAAGGTACAAAATAGTAGTTGTCACTTATCATGGTGAGCATCAAGTCATGTATAGAATTGTAGAATCATTATGTTGTATCTCTGAAACAAATATAACATTGCATGTCAACTATATTTAAAAAAAAAAAAAAAACCTTGAAAAAACAGCCAGTTGCCCCCAACAATAATAGATAAATATTGTTGACCCTTGGTTTTCACATATCTAGGCAATGTTTTGAAAACCTCCATGACAGAAACATGCATTATGCAAGGAAACGATCTTCTTCCTTGACTCTCAGTGAGTCCCCTAAAAAAGGATTTTCCTGATGCTGGCCACATTTACTGGGAGGTTCTCTGTATACTAATCCTCATTATTGGATGGTGATTTTTTTTTTCTCATTCTACGTGAGTAGAGACTGAGATACCAAAGGTTTGCTAAGTTTTTTGGTTGCTTTTTTTTTAATGGTTTAAATATTTTCAACTTGGAATTGAAATATATTTGGCTGTTGGATTATTGCTTTATTTATTAACTACAAGTTTTGGGTGATATCATTTGAGGCATTTACAGAGAGTTTCTTGTTAAAAGAGCATTTTAGTTCACTAGATCTAATGGAAGTTCTTTAATTAGGGAAATAAGTCCAAAATTACCAGCCTTTTATAAGGTGGATATTTTCTCCAAAACAACATTTTCTCCTGCGGATTATAACACATGTTGAAGTGGTGTCCCATCCAGTCGAGTAAAATAATTATGTATAATATTATTCTAGGACTATATTATGCCATCAATGTTTTAAAGTTGAAATAAAAAAGAATTACAGTTTCTAATGTATTTGAGCTGCAAATACCTGACCTTATTCCTTGTCTGTTGACATACCCCCTTCTTAAACTTGGCTTCTACTATGTTTCTAGGAACCACTCACAAATCAAATAAGGACATTTTTAAGAGATCTTCCTTTTTGTTTGGTTCAATGACATTGCAGTATTTGTTGGCATACATTGTGTCCTGATAGATAGGCAAGGGTTGATTTATAAAGCGCTTTTAGAACTTTGTAAATTATAGTTTAATATATCATAGCTTTTGTTTTGTAAAACATGCAGTAGACTTAAACGTTTTCATGATTGATAACCTGGTCACTGATTTATACATCCTGCAAACTGCTCTATAACTTCCCGAATGCCACTGGGTTAGAAGGCTTGAATAGTTGATTGATCAATAGGTGTAGAACTGTTTTTGAAGATGGGTCACTAGTTCATAGTGGAAGACTTTGTTTTTGTGACAGTTTGGCTAGCCATGAATAATTAATTTCTTTTTTGTGCACTGCAAACATGACTTATTTGGATAACTCATTATAACAAAGCTATTAATTCAAAGCCATTATTTCTCATGTTTAGTTCAAAGGGAAAAGAATCCTCTTGCTTTTTAAAGAAAAATCTATTATGTTATGTCATACCTATTACATTACATTTTAGCAATATAACTCTCTTATAGACAGCACATATGTGGGGTTTTTGAATGAAATAAGACCAGGATTTTCGGTGATTACCATAAGCCCCCGAGTTGTCAGGTGAAGAGAAGGAGTCAGGGGAGCTCATTGCACTGAGCCCCTACTCCCTGCCCGGCTCCATGCATAATCTCTCTTTTAGTCCTACTGCAGTCCTATGAAGATACTGAAGCATGATGCTAATACCTTCCTTTGGCACCTCTCTGACCCATAATTAGTTTTTACCTTTTTCTGCCTTGTCCTGTGCACTGAAAGAGCCGCAGGCTCTCTTGTCTGCTGTCAATACAGAACACAGGCAGAAGATGGGAGGATGGGTGGAGACTGAAGTCCTGGTCTTTCTGTGCCCTCCCTCCCTGCTCACCTCAGCTACATCCCTTGTCCCTCTTCCCGGGGGCCACAGTGCCTGCCAGGTGGTCCTTTCCTTACCACTCCCCTTCCCTCTTCATTCTGATAGTTTCCTCCTCCCCTTGTCCCTTCAGTTACAGTGATATAAACAGCCTCCCCTTGTTACCTGGCCTGACATACAGTAGTGCCCTATGTTGGCCTTTCCTCTCCCCCCCTTAAACACTGAAGACACCTTTGTAAATAGTAAAATCTCCCCAATGACCCAAATTAGAGTACCAACTCTTTCCCTTCAGGACTCTGACTGGTAGAAATATTTCCCCCAGTATCATGCTGCTAGTAATGTACAGACCTGAGATGCACCCTCAGATGCAGCTAATTCTAGGACCAAAGCCTGAGTACCCCCACAGATGCCATAATAGCTCCTGGATAATACAGATAGGTGCTAGAAGGGAAGGGAAAAAAGAGCTATTGGAACTCTTTAAACTTGTGGCCTCGGTGACCTAACTAGCAGTCCCATGTTGTCAACATACAAGAAATATTATGATAAAGAATGAAGGTATAATACGTTGCAAGGTATGACCTAGTGTTTGTACAAACTCGAGAAGTTAATGTTGGCTTGAAGAAGGTAAAGTTTGATCATTCACTTTGCCAAAACCAAGAAAGTGTCTCCTGGCTCTCAAATGTCAGCTTCTCAAACTCTGATCTTAAATATATGAGATGTTTTGTTTTGTATCTACTAAGTAGAAATAACAGTAATGTTGGGAGAGAAAGTTCCAGAACTCCAATTAATGTAGTGACATGGGTAAAATTACTTTGGGAAACTGGTCCCTTTAGAACTTGATAGGTTTGCTGAAATTTTGAAAATGATTTTCACCTTTCTCCATATGGCTTTATTGGTATTTTTAGAGTTAAATGAGAATGCAGCAAAAGATTCTAACTTCGCTTGTTATCTGAACACTGCAGAACAAGTTTGACCACATAAACTGGCATCGCATGGAATGTCTACATAGGAACAGAGTTCTCCTTACCAGTCCCCATGGCTGTAGGGTACATTCAGTGGGGTAGAGATGGAAATGGGTATGGAATAGGTAACAAGTCAAATTAGCAATTGATTTTTATAAAGAGTCTAGCTCTTTTGCTTAGCATGATCTATGTAGGAATCTCAATCTCACCTAAGATATATCCCATGTATGCCTTTTGCCCTGTGATGGCATCTGAAAACATGGTTATTTAGGTGTTGGGGTGTATGAGTCAAGGAAAATATATAATCAGATGTTTATTAAAAGCAAATTCAAAAGAAAACCAATTTAGTTTCGCAAGATTGATGAAAATCTGAGGTAGTAAACTTGGAATTTAGCACATATGTTAAGGAGAGAATGCCAACTCAAATGAGGTTTATTTATTCTACCACTAACACAAGTGAACTTTTGCCAGTGAATCCCTTCGGAGTTCCTGTGTTTAGTTTTTGTCAGTATCTAATAACAAAGCCAGTTTTATTTTTATTAGAGAGATAGCTACTCTATCCTGGATAATGAGGGTGGCTGAGAATCAGGAGCTTGAGAATTCCTTAAGCCCACCTCTTATTTTGGCTGGAAACCTGTGATTTTTTTAGTCCATTGTGCTCCAAACTAGAAAGCCAGGAACATGGGAACTTCTCTTTGTCTCAGTTCCTGCAAGGGTGAATGGATTCAGCAACTTCTGGTCTCCTCCTAGCAGATATTCTACCGTCATGGATGGAGAGCCTAATCTAGAACTTTGAGTATCTGGAGTGAAAAGGCAGTGTTTGAAAAGTTTGAGCAGCCACATACAAGGTTCGTTCTAGGATCAATATGTTGGTTTTCTTTCATCCCAGCAGGAGTCTCTCCTCTTGCTGCAGCCCAGGGCAAAGGAGTGGTATGCTCCATAGGAATGCCTTCAGGAGAACACCCCCCTCGCCCAGAAGTAGGCTGGGTGGCATCGTGGGACCAGCGTATCAGCAACTTGAGGAATCAAGGATCCCAGACCAGGATATGATACCTCGGCAAGGGTAGGTCTTAAAAGCAATGGAATTTAGGGAGGGTGTCATGAATGTTCAAACTTTCAATTGAGTTATTATGTTCTTTGGGGTTTTCTTCATTGATTTTTGTCATTAATAGTCTATTTATGCTTACTTCTATCTTTGTTCCACAAAAGATAAACTAAAAAGAATAGGTACAATGAAAACAGATATTAGGGAAATGTGAGACGGAAATATAACACTAGGGAGCAAGTTAAGTGTATAGCTATCTAGGCAGTATATTACATAGTTGCTAAAACAACTGGGGATTTGTCTTTGATTTAAAAGAAAAAGAGATTTCTTAGGAGGACTAACGTGTTCCTTCATTCTTAGGTTTGAAAAACAATTACTCAATTATCTAATCAATATTGTGGGCAATACCCTCAACAGTAATCTGTAATGTATTTATATATAGTATCTGCTTCTGCCCAGAGTGTTCTTGAACGTGTCTCAGTCAATGTTGACAGCATATTGTCAAAGTACAACTTGCTGAACTCAGATCTCTAGGTTCATTTGTAGTGTAGGTGTGGAAAGATGGGCTTTGGACACCCTAGGGCTGCTGTTCATTCTTGCAGTGCAAAAGGTGCCCTTTCCTCCAAGTGGTTGCAGACCCTCAAGGGCTCATGGCATGGTGAGTGGAGTAGGATGAATTTTAGCCCCCATTCACCTAATTGGCATAAATCACCCAGTCAGACATGGTAGCCCTTCCTTAAAATGACTGGAGTTTAAATCTCATCTTTGAAAAAAATTTTATCTTTTGAACTTAAGTTTTCTCATGTATAAATTGGGCAAAATAATACCACCTTCCTAAGGGTTGTTGGGCAGATTAAAAAAAAAATTACATGTGTAAAGGGCTTGTAACTGACACATAGTAAGCAGAAAACTAGTCTGGCATTTATTGTCACAGGAACTATTAGAGAGCTATTGATTTCAAGAGCAATGCAATCAGGGTTTATTCCAGAAATTTCAGGAATCCGTTCTCTCACTCAAGCCAGGTTCTTGTTGCATCTGTTTTTTATCACTCTGGATAAGGCAGTCCAGGTTTCTATGCTGCTTTGGCCTGGCTGATCTTTCCAGACTGTCTATATCAAACTGAGAGCCAAAGCAGTTGGGAGACATCTATCACAGAGCCTTACCTTTTCCTTTTCTTCTTGGCAAGTTATACATACAGCAATGCCCTGTCTGACAAAACTCAGCAACAGATTTCTTCAGAAAGAAATTTGTAATTTTGAAGCAATTCCAAATGGGCTGTAAAATACTTTTGGTACAGATCTGGGGTGACAGTTTGTAAATTCAACATAACAACCAGGTTGTCCAAAATGTATAATGCAAGTCAAGAAGCAGTTTGCATATTTCTTTGCCTTATATCTAGAAAAGGGGCTTGCATTTAGCCTCTAATTATAATTAATCATGTTTCATCATTTCTTTTCTTCTTAAATCGCTAAGCACGGATAATGATTCTTAAATCACTAATAATGTCTGTTACTTAGGAATATATATACGGGTGAGAACGAGTGAAGGGAAATCAAGTTCGGAGATTTTGTGGGTGGAGAGAGAACCCAGCCCATGCTGTCTTTCTTTTCATTGGGTACTGTTATGGCTCTCATCCCATATGTTAAGGATGCTCTGAGCCTGTGCCAGGCATAGGCTTGAACCCTACATACATGAATCTTCAGAGGCTCAGAGATTTCCATGCATGTTCAGGCACTGCTTTGTCTTTTACCTCCTGGGAGACTTACACTTATTGTCTGCATAGTGGTAGTTTTGTTTTGGTTCAACCATCATTGGGTTTGGAATATTCTCTCCAACTGGCTGGCCACGTGTATTTTCCTGTGTGTGATATGCACCCGATGTTGATAAATGGTGACTCTAAGTCACTGTGTGCTCAGCACGATGAATCTCAGGGAGCAATCTCATTCTCAGTTCTTAAAAACAGCTATTTTCCACTCCTGGGGGACTGACCATCTCTCCAGACTGGAAATGGGATTGGTAATAGAATTTCACAGCTAAAGGCCCTCTTCAAATCTGGCCCTAGCCCCAAGGGGGAGTGAATGAATTTACGAGAGCTATCAGCCATCTGCTGCTTGTTTATCAAGCATGTGGGCGCTGTCTGCTAGTTAGGCTCCTGGTGTATAGGACTTCTCTTCTTGGCACTTACGTCAGCCCAGCTTGAACCCAGCACATATCATAGGGAGGTCTGATGAAGGAATGAGATGAAGAGGAGATTCTTCAGGAGATTTACCCCCAAATGATAGACCTGGGACCATCATGGCAATGGCTTACAGAGCTCTGAACTAGGTTCTGTCAGGCAAATCAAACTCATCTCTTCATATGCTAGACAGAAAGAAATGGAATCACAGAAGTAGATGGCCACCTTCAAAGTAGAAGGGATCCAAAGTAGAAGGGATCCAAACTGAATACCTACCTCACTTAGCTAGCAACTTTACAGACAAGTGATCCTTTAAGAAGTTTAAAAATGAACATACTAAGAATAGCAGAGTTTAAATGGCTAACCTAAGGTGGCATATCCCATGTAAAAGGACCAAGATTGAATACTGGCCTTTCTGACTAAATGAACCACTAAGCCAGGAAAGAAATGTGAAGAAAATCACATTCATGGATGATGACATATAAATGGAATAGCTAAGTGTATGGCTTTGGAGGGAAAAGTGGATCTCTTCAATTTAGTCAGTTGATTTCAAGGCCATGCACACCAGGAACTGAGGCTCGGAGTCCCCTGCAGAAACACAAATTCCTTGGCCGAATCCCTGGGAACCAAACCAAGTGACTACTGTTGGAATTTCTCATCTTTAAAAGGATGCTTTGACTCCCCTAGTTACAGATGAAATGCACTTGTGATTTCTTTGGTGAGAGATCAGAGGAAGGGCAGCTCAAACTGGTATTTTATAGTCACTGAATGACAAGCTATGGATCAAACTTGTGAAAGAGTCAGTGACTCTTAAGGGACACAGAACTCTGAAGTATCTTCTAATCCAGAACCACATTAGAAATTTAGCTCTCGCTTAAACTTCTGGAGAGTAGTATGTAGCTTCTACTCAAATACCAGTCTGGGACCTTTCACTCTGAGAAGGAAGAGAGGACTCTGGTTGAATAGCACAGAGACATTACTTAGGTTAGTCCCCAGAGGAATTCCCCTAGGTCAGTATTCCCACCTGTTTTAATTAACAAAAAAATATAAGTGAGGCTGCCATTTGTCTAAGATTCCAGAGCTTGTAATGGCATTGGGACTTAAAATCATGTCTGATATAAAACAAAATCACATTTTTGGAGAGTTCTAATTGTTTGAAGTCCTCTCCATGTTCCAGTAACATTCTAGATTTCAGTTATTGCCAGCCATGTGTCCCATACCTGACTTGCAAGATGACACATAAGCTAATTGCAATTCCTCTTTCTCACCCAAGTCCGTAATTCAGAAGACTGCCCCATGTTTGGTTTGAATTGCCTTTGATTACTTCGTCATCATGCCAATGTAGTCATGAGGCTACAATTTACTAAGTCCCCTGAGATACTTATGCCTTTACCCAACAGTTTTACAAGGAATATTTAGATGCTGGTATAAGAATGTGCACCTGTCACCATCACATTTCAACCTGTTAAATTCTAGCCACTGATACACCCAGAAGATATCTATGGGGAATACAATTTTATCCCAATTATATTTCTTGGCTCTGTGCCATTGGTGAATGCGATAAGCAGACATCCTCTATCTTCATGCATATTAGTGATGCTAACAGGTTGACATCTGACCCCTTTTTTCTTGTTGAAATTAAGACATTGAACAGAAACTTCAGATTTTCTGATGGTCAGATTTTCAACCATATAACGTATAAGTGAAAGGCATAAGATCCCCCAGGGAATTTCCTTGTACATGACTATGCAATTAGTCTATAATTGTAAAAAAGATTATACATCCCTAAAAAGGTGTTCTAGTGCACCTTAGGATGCCCACTCATTTCTGGCTTTGATAAGAAGAATCACAATCAAACAATTTGGGATTAACTTGTTCCTCTGCTGCTTACCAAAGGTATAATTTGAGGGAAGTCACTTGAGTGCTCCTTAATTTAGTTTATTCATCCATCACATGGTAATAATAATAAATAAGCCACAGGTTTTTAAAAAATTAAATGAGGTAATTAGACATAGCATGCTTTTAAAAAACATTTTGCAAATGTCAGCTGTTATTATGTGTGAAATGGACATTAACTGGGATATAAGGGGAGCACTTACCTTGAAGATTTGTTCATGTATTCATGCATCCCCTTGATCAGGATTTATTGATTGCCAACTCTGTACTAGGCATAGTAAGAGGGGATGGAGCTACAAAGACACCTAAATTTGATCCTCATCTTTTCTCACTGCCTGGTGAAAAGACAGACCCCTAAATTGCTCTGATTGTGTCCTTACAATAAAGACTTCTATTTAGTATGCAAGACACTTCATTGCAATTATTCTTTCCATTTATAAACATGACTGTTATTTGCATTGTAATGCAAGACAAGGGGAATAAGACCTATTCTGTGGAGGGTGGATATGTTTAGATTATGCTTAAATTTTAATGTTTCATTTAACATTTAAATTAAGGACAAACAACTGAGAGAATAGGGACTACTGTTCAGGACCCCAAACCACATTTCTGTGAATCCACAACATACCTGCCCTACTCTCTGGCACTGGAAAATTCACTGGCTCTGAACAGGCAATAAGAGGGCTAGCCAGATCCTGGCATATTCCAAAGACTTGGGATGGTACCTTAGCATTCTTGACAAGCTACTACCATGCACCAACGAACTACCTTACTTGGCTCCAGAAACTATGTGAGGAAAGTTGCTATATTGGTAGAGGCCCAATGGACTTCACTTCATGTTCATCCCTGGAGAGGAATTGTATGCCTCCATCCCATTTGTAGGCTCAGCAATCTGGCAGTGAGGCAGTTTCTACAGAGTAGAGAGCCACTGAAAATCGGATTTGGTCCCTGTAAACTCAGAGTGAAGCAGAAACACTCAGGATGATAGCACCTTGATGCTTCATGTCAGGCTTTCTGATCGCCCCCAAGTAGTGTGGCCACGAGTCTACAGACTAAACCCGGGCTGAGAGGGTGGTCACATGGATGGAGTGGAGTAATGCCATTATGGGTTTCCTGTTTGTCACTATGGAAAGGCCACACTTACCTGCTCAATCCCCATTTACTTTGTATTCTAGGATAGAGGTCAGGAAGACTATACCCCACCTGCCTATACAGCTGTGGTGTGTTGAAAGATCCCTGGACTTCAAGTAAGAAGATCTGGGTTTGAGTCTCAGTCTGTCACTTATTTTCTGTGTGACCTTGGGCAAGTCACTTCACCTCTCTGAGCTTCAGTTTACTTCTCTGTTTAACTGGGAGCATATTATCCGTCTCATGGGGTTGCTGTGAGAATTCAGTGAGATGGTGCATGTGGAAATGCTTTGTTGACTGAATAGTGCTCTAAGGAAGCACAGCAGAAAGCAGAACCTGTAACACCATGTTTCTTTTTCAGGTATTCATCCAGTGGTTTAAAAACCCAACAAAATGCATCCATAAATATGCAACTGCCTTCAAGAGAGACAAATTCCTATTTTAATAGCTTGGATCAAAAGGACCTGATGGGCTATTCATCCACACGGGCCAGTTCCGTGCCCATCATCCCTTCAGTGGGTCTAGAGGAAACCTGCATGCAAATGCCAGGGATTTCTGAAGTCAAAAGCATCAAATGGTACAAAAACTCTGCTGATATTGTCAATGTGAGTATTCCAGTCAGCGATTGTCTTATAGCAGAACAACAAGAAGTGAAAATATTGCTAGAAACTGTCCAGGAGCAGATCCGAATTCTGACTGACGCCAGGCGGTCAGAGGACTATGAACTGGCCAGCGTAGAAACCGAGGACAGTGCAAGTGAAAACACAGCCTTTCTCCCCCTGAGTCCCACGGCCAAATCAGAACGCGAGGCACAGTTTGTCTTAAGAAAGGAAATACAAAGAGACTCTGCATTGACCAAGTGACTTAAGATGGAGGAATCTGTGCATTCTGTGCTTTGCTCAACAGGAAAAGAGAGGAAATTAAATACAAATTATTTATATGCATTAATTTAAGAGCATCTACTTAGAAGAAACCAAATAGTCTATCGCCCTCATATCATACTGTTTTTTAACAAAATATTTTTTTAAAGGGAAAGAAACGTTTCAGGAGGGATAAAGCTTACCACTAAAGCTTTTGGGTAGAATTCTGAATACCATTTCAGTTAGTCCCAACGCCGGCCTCTTTTGGCTCTTAGTAGATGTGGGTGATTCAGACCCTCAGCCCCACCGCACCAGTGTCCTCATAAAAAAGCACTGGCAGTTACCCGGTTTCAAAGAGACAAGCTGTATCCTGAGGGTGGACATGCCAGTGAGCGAGTGGCTCTTGCATTTGGCTTGCTGGTCCCAACCCCTAAATTTCTATTCACTCGACAGCCTCCTCACAGGTTATGTCATGTCAACCAATGTAGTGTTTTCTCTTTCATTTCTGAAGAATGACACAAAGACTCTGGAAGGGGGAGGACAGGAGATAGAAGGAGTAATCGGGGGCAGTCTTAGCTACTCTCATGTGCCAGTTCCCTCTGAAATTTGAAGGCAGAGAATCTCAGAGGGAGGTGTGAAGGAAATTATTATAGAAAAAGAGATGAGAAAAATCACAATGTCGTGTCACTAAAACCATGCGAATAGAAGTGTTTTTCTTTGAGATCGTGTAAGGGCTCCAAAGGAGCGTTTCTCAGTGTGTGTGTGCCTGTGTGTGTGCGCGTGTGTGTATGAATGTGTGCGTGTGTGCGCACAAACGGGCGTTGGTATGGGCTTGCTCACTCGAGCACAGGTATGCTGTATGCACATGTGTTCATTGTGTGTATGTGTGTGCATGTGTGTGCATATTAAGCTTGCTAAAATTTGTTCTGAAACATCAGGGAATTTAATATTCAGAAAAAAAAATTTCCCTCTCAGATCTGTTCACTTTAAATTTATCCATTAAGTATAAAGTTCAGTTAGTAAGTTCTTAGATCAAGGTCACTTGCATGGCGGGGTCCTATAAAACTCTTGACAATGTCAAGATCATTTTCTGGTGTGAATACTTTTGAGAGGAACAACTATTGGCTCATTAATGATATCAGTATCACAAGGCAAGTTGAGGATGTGTGTTTATTTTGAATCATGCATACTTAAATGATTTACACAAACCAGTTATCAAATTGACAGTTACCCTTTGCTTTCTCGTCATCCTCATTACTATTTATTTTGTAGCAAGTCTACTATTTGTGGACCAAGACATTGGCTTCTGTGGTTAATATGGAAAGAATAAATTGTTGAAATCACAAAGCCCAGACTTTTCAGTTCACAGGAAGCCCCCAAAAGAACAGTAAATTGTGTTGTATGTTCATTTGGAATAAAGCAATATTTTTACCACTGCTAAGGTGAACTGAAACTTCTCCTGAAGATTTGTCTGTTTTATTTACCCTTATTTTCGTGGGGCATTCAAGGAAATTAGTGTTCACATAACCAGTCTTTTTCCAATCATTGGTGGTGTTGAGTTGTTATGTTTACACTGTTTTAAATAAAAAGGCACAGTATTTGAAAGTATATAAAAGATTTCTTTTACTGCAGTCTGGGAAGACTTTGGTTAAAATTTCCTTGTGGAAGATTCACATTACATTGAAAGGGAATGTAACTATTTCTGAAATATTGAATATATACAATTCTTATTGAGGTTGTTTCTGTTGAAAATACATTGCAAATTGCTCTTTGAGAACATTCTTTAATAATAGACATAATGTCATGCAGGGGAAGGAAAACATTGTGTTCTTACCAACACTGTTTAGTGGAACACTTCAAGGTCTCAGTTGTTGAAAACACTTTGGTAGAAATGCATTTTATATTTAACAAAAGGTTTTGGTATTCATTAATTGTCCTAGTATACTTATATTATTTTGAATATAGAGGTAATGTTGTTAGAGTCTTAAAAGATCATCACAAATTTTTAATGTCTAGACCACCTAGGCTCCCATTTAAAAATATTGTATCTTTGGGGCAAGGATATATGACACCCATAAGTTGCATATCCAATATGTTACTGTGTTGAAATTTATCACTATTATCAAACATTAACTGGAAGGCCTCACAAGTCTGTTGAAGTCAACCTTGTTTCTTGGGTTTTTCATCACAAGTTTACCTGAGGATTCATACAGATTTCACCTAATTAGGAGGTGATAATTAGGTGACTCACAGCAGTTACTTTAATATATTTTTCACTCTGAAAAGATTGAATATTATCAATCAAACTTAAGTCCTGATCCAACCCCCACTTTTTTTTTTTTAAAGTAGAACCATATATTATGTGATTATAAACACTCTGGTGCATCGTGAAGAGCATTAGTATCAGGCGCACCCACTGGCAGTCTGATGTAAAGTTTAGAGATATAGTTATTTCCTAATTGATAATCAAGACAAAATCTTCCATAAAGAACAGATATTAAAGGTTATTTCAGTGGTCATTTGTCTTCTTTTGGAATATGAAGCTCTCTGAAAAGGGCCCAAGCTCAAAATGCACATTTTTGGGCACCATCTGACAAGTACTGATAACATCAAGACTTTCAAAATTGATCTAACATGGCAAACACCTTGAGCCATTGGTACCTTGTCCTTCTAGCTCATGTGCCTACAGAGAGGTGCTTATTTCTACAAGACACCTTTGATTTTGTTTCATTTTCCTTGTCTTTTTTATGTGAATAGATATTTGGAGATTTGTAACTAAGTAAGTTGCATATTAGTTATTTACTGAAGAGTGAATGTCACTCACTAGTTTTTCACTCTGAATCATTTTCTAATTAGTCTTTTTTTAATACAAGGCATATATTATTCCAAGTTGCCATGGAACACTGTTGTTCAAAATATATGACTAATTTTATGTTAATGAGAAATAATAGAAATGATGTTGGAAAATTGGCATCCAAATTTTCTTTCTGATTTTCCCATATATGTTATTGAATGCTCTACGTTTTACACTCTAATCCAGTATATACCTTGCTATGGGCTAAGGACTAAATATTTGTAAATTTATCACATCTCCAATGATTCACATCATTTCTAAGTAACAATAGCAAGGTCTTCTGGAGGAGCAAAAGTGCTGATTTTAAGACTTCACAAATTAATCTCTTTTGATAATAATAGCATATCAGACCAACCAAAAAGAGAAAAGTAGGGCCAGGCTGACTTTGAGAGAATGCCCGTTGGCTTCCAGATTGAATGACAGCTACAATGTAAGTGCGGCCTCTGGCAACCATGGCGAAGGCTGTCAATAACCAGGTCTCCACCAGAATACGCTTGATGTATGCAGCAGTCATGCACATCCATCTGCTGTATGGTGCTCTAGGAAACCGTGGCTCCCTAAGTAAGGGGAGATTCTGGTTCCTTTGATCCCAGCCCTGTAAGCCAGAAAATATCGCCCTGAGACAAGTGCTGTGAAACATTTCCCAAATGAGCATATACTATACTTAGGAACACAGCAGGAGGGGTGGGATTTTTATTTGATCTTTTGGTATCCGGGAAACATTTTATATATAAAGAATACTTTTTTATTATTATTCGATTGTATAGATTCAGTATAGTGTATTTGATGATAGCGTATCTCTACTGTGTTTGTACCTTAGTCTTCAGAAATTCAGTCTTCATCCAGGAAAGATCAGCACAATGTTTCTGGGCTGTTCTCAATTTTAGATGTATCCCAATATGTTGTGGGAAATGATGCCTTTAAATAAGCTTTATCTCTTCCTCTTTTATTTTTTCTTTCCCTTTTAAAGAAATAGTGAGGGTGAAGGAAGAAATCCATTCCTTAAGATCCACCTTGTTTTCTTACAATTATCTGTTTTCTACTGTGACTACACACACACACACACACACACATCTAAACATATATGTATATATAAAATATATACGTATATTAAATTTAGGTGTTTGATTATTTTGTTAGCTTTATTTTTGCTTAATTTGACAAATATTAAAGTGAATGCCAATGAAATGAAATCATTTAGGGATCAGCTGAACCTCCAATGTTTAGGTAACAGAAGCATTTTTCAGTTCTTTCTTTTTCTTAGGTAAGCAGAAATATCCTCGGGTTGGAGAATTCACACGACCCTGGAATAAAATTTCTGCTAGATTATCCCTTAGACATGAAGATTAAACTATGGGTATATATGATTGCTGTCCCTATAGCATATAATGGTCTCAAATATATTTTTTACAAATATAGACACAAGTTCTCCCAAAGGTGCTACACAGGTACCTTTGGCTTCAAGTGCCCATGAGCTCTAGTGAGGAGTTGAGGTCAAGGCAGAGGGACAAGGGGGAGATATTACATGTTAATATTGGATACCCCAGTGAAGATGTGCAGATGGTAGTAGAGGTAACCAGACACCATCTTGATAAAATAGAGAACAGGCTTCTAGTACTTTGAAAACTTTTTTCAGAAACATTGGTTGCATGGGTGTTGTTGCCTATGAAATAATAATTGTACAATAGCAAACAATTCATGTTGAGAGTCATCTTTGTGAAAGCTCATGACTTACCTATACATATTAGTAACATCATGACTCCATCTGTCAAATAAGGAGGATTATCTAGTTCATCTTCAATTTCCTTCCAAATTGAATAATACCCTGTTATCCGATCATTCAAACTCAGACTTTACCTGGTCATTTGTCATCCAATCATTTCACAATCCCTTGTAAAGTTAATAGCTATGTCTTGTAAAACTCAACAATTGTTGGAACCTATCAACCTATATATATCTATATGTTACACTTATAATATTCCATTTAATTTCCATAGAGAAATAGGATCACTTTTCTCATTTTTAAAGTAAATTTACCTAGGACAGGTAATTAATAAGAAAGGATGGCCAAGAAAATGCCTAACTTCAAAGCTTGAGCATAAAAATTCACCCTGGATTCTTGGATTAAAATTTGCCACGGATTTTTTTTTTTAAGTGTATCCTTTGTGAATCTTTATCAAAGCCAGAGTAAGGAGTTCTGAGAAGGCATGACACCTTGAAGATGTTCTCCTCTCACAGATGCAATGACACACTCTCACTGGATACACAGGATATTTCTTAATATTCTCAATTATTTGCACATCAAACTCCTTAACACAAACCCTCCAACTAATAGTGAATAAATTCTCTGGGGACACTTTCACATTATACTTGGAAATAATCCTGTTCTTTGGGGGGCACAATAGACAAAACAAAAATGCAGGGTTTACTTATTTAATTTTGGTTTTAATTGCTGTTTCTTTTTTTTTTTTTAAGATTTTTTTATTTATTTATTTTTTAGAGAGCGAGCGAGAGAGAAACAGCGTGAGAGGGGAGAGGGTCAGAGGGAGAAGCAGGCTCCCCGCTGAGCCAGGAGCCCGATGTGGGACTCGATCCCAGGACCCTGGGATCATGACCTGAGCCGAAGGCAGATGCTTAACCATCTGAGCCACCCAGGCGCCCTAATTGCTGTTTCTAACAAATCAATATCTATTTGCTCTTCCAATAGCATCCTGACTAGCACTAATTCTTCCATATAATTTTTCTTCATCAAGATCCCAAAGTCTGAATTCCTTAGTCTTCAATAAAACAATGCAGAATGTTAAATAGGTCAATCAAAACAGTAAGTCTCATTAAGTTGTGTTGTGTTTTTAAAGTTATAAAGATTCCATGTAGTTGTTTACAAAATCAAAATAGAAAAAATGCACATTTTTAAAACTTTTTGATGTATTTAGAGGTCTGATGAACGATTCACACAGCCTTGTTCCACTTTACATTGATAACTCGATACTGTCCTTTCCGAAATGAACTTAAGTTGAAGGTCTTAAACAATCACACACACACACACACACAGCATGTTAAAATCCAATGTCCTCCTTTTCCTTAGAGTTTTCTCTTAAAACTCACTAGAGTGTGTCCAAAGTCTCATGATGTGGATGACCTTGGATTCAGATATGTTTCATATGAAAGGCAGACAGTGAAAACTATAGTGATTCTCTTTTAAGGTTGTTTTATACAACCTGCATTTGAATCCTGTCTATCAAAAAAAAAAAAAAGGTCTAGAGAATAGATACATTCATTCAAACTGGAATAAATGGAAGAACATACTAGTCACCTTAAAATCTCTACACATTTACCAGGGGCCACTGTGTATATTTTAAAGATAATTTGAGGGAAATACCTTGATTCCCTCTTATTTTTTTCACGTATGCAATTGTACACATTAAATCTAAATGAAAAATGAATTCCCTAGTTCTTCATAATTAACATATTTTATTAACTCATTGACCATATTTTAAATAAAGAATGTAAGTCACATACAGAAGAATACATACAAAATGGTCAGCAGAATATCTCCAGTTGTTATTTAAAAAAAATTTTTTTTTTAAAGCAGAAACAATCTCTTGTGCCTGTGATAGTAGTTTTGTCTTAAGGAGTGTATATGTTCTCCTTCCAAGAAAATATGTCAAAATGCTGTTCTCTACTCTGTGGAGTGGATATGAAGGCTATGGGAAATAATACTAGCTGTTTGTCCCTT